GAGGCATCAGTTCCCCGGCCCAGTCAACACATCTAACTCTTTGCACATACTACAGAGAGGACTGTGTTTGCCTGCTTTTTTATTCCGCAATGCCATCATAATTGCCTTCAACAGGTCTGCCACTATAGAACCAATACTACCACTGGTCATGACCTGTTTGTTGAGTACTTAATTTCACAATAACTATGACTGCCACACAAGCACACCTATTAATAGAACAACTGAAAAGTGAAATTGTTTCATCAGTTTGTTAAAGTACAAAACTAGGAAATGGCAAGTTCCACAATTATGATGCACTTATTCATCCATTTCCATAATTTCCATAAGCATTCGTTTCCATAATTATGATGCCCTTATGCCAGATCAAAAAAGAAAATGGCAAGTTCAAACTCTAATAAAAAAACTATTTGTAGGAAACATGATAATAATTGAATCTTCATAAAAAAAAAATAAAGGTATGTCTATAATAGAATAGATCTAGTTAACCCCAAACCAAAAAGGACCAGAGGGTAGTGGACAATAATCATCAACATTCAGATGCTATGGAAAAAGACAAACAAAAGGAGCTCAAGCCGTGCCATCTTATTACAAGATCTTCAAGAATGATCACAAACACAGGGGCGGGGTGGCTACACTTGTGATATAAAGCACAAGAAACGCATTTAAGCTCATGGAAAGAAAGTTGAGCATTTAGTAGCGATAATCCTCTGTCTGAAGATGAGGAATCAAATAACAAATGCTACTTACCGAAAAAAGGACAAGTAACATTATACATGGTGGCAACTGGCCAAGGTTTCATATATAGATCACAACATATCTATGTGGTAAATTTCAATGTGTCCTGCAAAGCTTAATAAATGTAGCAAAAATAAAAAATCCTAAAAACACGTATCAATAAGAAGGCACATAATTCTTCTAAAGTGTGTCTTCTTTATCTTTGAATTGCATCAACACCATTTAAAAAATGATCCATGGATGAAATCCTTTCCCTAATATTCCTAATCTGCTTTCCTAATTGGCAATTTTGGTGGACAGATGAGTGGAATGATACCAAGGTATGGTTGATATTATGAGAAATTTATTCCAAACAATAGAAATGGGCTTGGGAAAAGAACAGTATAGCAGCATATTTTTCTGCCCATGAAAGCATATTGCAGCTGCCCTAGACAGCAAGTGCTACAAAGAGGTACCACCTCAAGGAAGGATGAGACAGATTCTCATCATAAGCCAGAAGGATACTTCGCCCTAGAGAATACATGTGCAGTATTTATGGGCCGAAAGAGAAGAACCACTGCTGGAGAGCTAGTGGTAAATGATCGAATCCTGACAATTGTAGACAGGGTGCACTTGTAAGCAGGCCACAGGGAAAGGGAAAAAGGGCTTTCTAATAACCACAAGAACAATGATTTCTCAAAATTAAGTGATAGATGAATGCAAAACCAAGGCGGTTGTTCTAGCCAACGTGAAACACTCCAAATCGGAAACGAATTCACCAGTTCAGATCAATGTAGCAGTCTGATCAGCCTCGTTCATCCGACTGATTGCAGTAAGTCCTACCCAAGGTTCTTTGTCTTTATTTTTTTTGGGCAGTCAGTTTCTACCAAAGGTTCATTTGGCAGAAGCGAGAAGAGGATTTGATCTATTTTTTGCCAACAGGTAGTGAATTCTAATGGTCCATACTTTGTAAAAGTAGCCAAGCCAACCTAGTCAAACCTAGAATTAAGCATACTTTCAGCCTACAACAGATGCATGAATTAACGGTCGATATACGGAAAGATGGACACACACACTCACAGAGAAAGACTTACCGAAGCTGAAAGCATAGCCATTGATGGACATGAGCTGCTTGTTGGCCATTATGATCCCCACAGAACTGACGACGTTCATCGCCCATGTACCAACATCCGACAAAGCCGACGATTTCTTTTCGCCTTCCATTTTATCTTCCCTTCTTCTCTCACCGATACAGATACTCGTTTTTTATGAATCGGACAGTAGCAGTAAGTTATAATGAGGTCAAATTTAGAAAATCAAGACTAAGACAACCGATGAGGATGAGGAGGATGATGATGAAAGATTCAGGATCAAAGTTTGTTTTTTCCTTAGGAACAAACATACCCCCTTTCCCTTGTCCTGTGTGTTAATATGAAGCGGAGACAGACTGCGGATCTGGATTAAGGAGAGTAGCGTGAGGAAGTTTTGACGGAGACTCGATGTTTGATGTTTTAGTCTTTCACTCCCAGCTCTCTCTGTCTCTCCCTCTCCCCCTCGCCCAGTCACCTTCAATTCGCCTCGGCCGGCTCTACCCCTCTCGCCCCCGCCCCAACCCCCATATCTTTAAAACATCCTTCTAATTTATTACATTATCAAAGATACTCTCACTATTTTTTTAATTTTCACCGACACTCTTATTAGATTAAAAGTATTCACTAATAATTTTATTAAATTATTTATTATATATTTTGAGAAAAACTTCATTTACATCTGTTCTAAATAAATATATATTTAATGAGAACCACTTTATTTTTTATATTTTTTTACGTGTTAAAATTCAAACAGATCAAAACTCGACTCGAATTAATTAAAATTTATTTTTTACATATTAAAATTCAAGTCGATTGAAAAATATATTTTTGTACGTTTTAAAATTATAGCTGATTAAAATTTTATTCGAACTTATTAAAATTTATTTTTAATCAGTTTAAATTAAATTTTAATCAACTGACATTGAATTTTAATCGATCTGAATTTTGATAAATAAAAAAATATAATTTTTAATTAATTCAAATTTTAATTCGTAAAAAATAAATTTTATTATGCATAAATGATTCTAGTTTACCTTCGGTATTATCCATTCAAGTGTGACAACCAAAACAAATCTCCAATGTGAATCATTTAAAAAAAAACTAAATCAATAGAAAAGACATTGTGGTGGTTGAAAGTTAAAAGGGCAAACACGAGGAATATAACCTATTTAGGACTCAATGGAACAAGTTATCAAAATTATGACTTAATTGTCAAAATAAAAATATGATAGAATTTGTTGGTTTTTTTTGTAGAGAAAAATAGTATTTATTGATTTTTTTTCTTCAATTTTTTATTCTAATATGTACTTTGTACATGTCCCACCTCACAAGGTTTTAGATTTTAATTAAATAATGTTATTGAGATTTAAAAAAAATGACATAATTTATGGCGGTCAATTCAAAACTTAAAACCAGCCGGCTCTCTATCTCTTTCCACTTCGTCTTCTCCGTCTCAAACAACAGCAAAGATATGGATCTCAAAAACATCACAGATTTAAATATAGATCTCAAAACACTACACCACATATCCCTCTCGAACAACGGCAAACACAACAATTTTGTAAGTTTTCTTATTCTCCTCTGTCTCTCTCCACGCACATTGGAACCCACCCACGGTTCACAGGTGACTTGTTGTTGCAGGTTCTTTCTCTCTCATGCTGGCTTGCTGCGGAGTTGTCTTTTTCTTCTCTCTCTTTACATGAGCACCCATCCTATCGACATGAATAATTGAATATAAAGACAATTAAATAAGTTAATACACGCATTTAGCAGTAAAAAGTTAAGAGACACAAAGTAAATTATTTAATTTTTATTGTGATTGTAAATTTTAGTTAAATTATTATATTTATAATTTTTTTTATTTATATGACCGATTCGACCAGTTAATTCAACGGTTGAACCAGTGAATCTATTGACTCGGTCTCTTTATTGGTTTGATGTTCGGTCCGATTCTAATAACATTGGTTGTGACGGTAACTCTTGGACTTTCATTACTTATCACATTATTATGTTAGTAAATTAAATCAATTTTTTAGATCTTAATAATGTTTTTTATTTTAGTTACAAGGAACAAATTAGGATCAGTCTAAAAATATTAATATTGATCTTAAAAATATAATTTTTTATTTATCTTAAAACTTTTATAGTTCAAATTCAAACTTTTTAAGAATCAAATTATAATTTTTTAGAGGTTTGTGATCGAACATCAATCGCAAATGTTTAGGATATATCATAGAAGTCCTAGAGGTTGTAAATGAATGTTAAAAATTTTACAAAGAATTCCAAAAAATTAGACCTAACGGTATAGTACAATTTTTTTTTATTAGGGTAGTATTCTCCCCCAAAAATTCATCCGCACTTTAAACTATTAAGCCCTCACATTTTGTTTGTAACATCCTACACCCATTCCAATTAATCCTATACTTTCTCGCTTTAAATATGCTTCGAAGGAGAAGACACCATATTGTTCTTTCACCAAGTTGGAGTGTTCTGTGCAAATGTGCTAACGAACTAGTTGATCATCTAATTTTGTTGCGACATTACATAATTGGAGGTTGTGGTGGGGTAGTCTTTGGTTCTTTATTAGCCATTATTATCGTAGATTTCAAGGGCTTTGGAAATAACCAAAAAAAAAATTAATAATAACAAAAGAGTAATAATATTAAGATTTAATTTATTGACATAATTCATTATGATCATTAAATTGACTGTGAACTCTATTAAATATTAGAACTTGATATTAATCTAATAGTTTCAATAAAATCACATCATTAGACCAACAAATGATGTGAAATTTTTAAATCCAAAACATTACTCAAAATCACAACGTGGAATTGTGAAATTTTCGTTACAATATGGATAATTTGGTTCTCTCTCTCTGTCTCTCTCTGGGTGTGACTTACTAATTACCAGTTCAAGCTTAAGCTCGATGTATTTTTGTTTGTTTTTTCTTTGTTGTCCACTTTTTAAGCTGGACAAGAAGTCCAACCTTAACCTTTCATTTGTATTGTCAGTTCATTAATAAGATAGGCATCTCATCAAAAAAACATTTACCCAAAAATATCAAAATCTCTTCCAAACTTGTGATATGGATAGAAGTTTATTGCAATTTCAAAATAACTGAGTAGCCCTCTTTTTTTGCCTTGTTTTTAATCATCTAATCCGATTTACTTCAAAACAAGGGATATAGAGTCTTCACTCCATATCAATAGCTAAAACCTTGTCCTGCAGAAGATCACAGAGCAATTCCATGCATCGATATACTGTAGCACGAGCCTCCGTAATCACCACCCTTGAATTTTGGTCTTTGATATCTGTCAGATTTAATATAGAGCTGCAACGATTCTTCAACTTGCTAAATATGATGAAGCTGGAATTCAAACACCAACTACTGCCCCAAAAGAAAATTATAACGGTTCACAAAGAACTAGTAGTATAACAAAAATGACCATACATCATCGATGCTATTTGGACTAGCTAGTCCACTTTGGTGTAACAAAAAATCTTCAGTCATGCTCCCATTACCTGAACCAACCTGCTTTTTCTACTGTTTGGATGACTATGCAGTAACCATTATCAATTGCCTCGCATATCCGACCACCTTTATCAACTCTTTCGCACATAAGATGAGAGCCAGTGATATGTCCACATCCTGGGATTAGCTGAAACATTAGTCAATTGTTTCCACTTAAGAAAGATAAAACTCCTAAACAAGTGAAAAACAACCACAAGATAGCTGAAAGCAAGAGGTAAGACAAACGATACCTAGTATGGCAAGGATGTAAGTAGAGGCTTATATCACATGGACAATAGGTTACATTACAGGTAAAATGCTAAGCAATTCCACACCAGATCTGCTGAATCTCAAATTGCAATCCAGGAATAAACTGCTTGAAGGGAGAACAACTGAACCACTATAATTCAAAGGTGAGTCTCAAGACACTAACTAAGATTCTTATCATATTCCTTTAAATTTGGCTCCTCCGTTTTATTTTACAATAAGTTGATGTTGAGCATGGATCAACATACAACAGAGATACAACAGTATTTTTCATAAAGACGAATGAATAAGACTACAAGAATAGCTTGCCAGATTTATTCTTCATTATGGGCAAAGTCATCACTTCACCAGATTCAATAGGAATTTCTGGCTTTTATCTACTAATAATGCATAAGCCTTGACAAACTCCTCCTTGACCATGAAAAGCACAGAGGCTGCAAAGACACTTTGAACTATCTTGGTGCTCATCCCTTTGTAGAAGCTGGACAATCCTTCATAACGGATCATCTTCATTATTGCATCCAGAGTACCTGTGTTGCAAAGAACACAATTACCACTTTGGAAACCATAATTAAATAATGACATCTCTCTGCCTTTTATGGGAGTAGCAATCGATTATTTTTCTTTTTCTAATTTTCTGAAAAAAATAGGTAATCAATTTTATGCTAGACGAATAATAACAAAAAGAACTTTATCCACGTATACTCTCTCGTAAATCTTGTGGATGTTGGGCTTTTGAATTAATGTTCTGGTTTAATTCCTTGCAATTTCTGTGGTTGATTTTTGTTGTAATCTTCCTCAAATTGATCCTCCTCTCTGCTGGTTTGTCCTATTCCCTGATTGTTGCTGGGTCTCGAAGAAGAAATTGTTCTGTTCTTCTGGGCTGGACTTGTGACGTTTGGGCTGGGTTGACCTGTGGTTCTTCTGGTTAGACCTTTGATCTTCTGGGCCCTTGTGAGTTGTGATGTTTGGGCTTTGTAGTTGCTGGAATGCTGATTTGATGCTATGTATACTATGAATCAACAATTGTTTTGGTTAAAGCCCTAATCTGCTGATTCTTTGGTTTGGGCTTTTGAGTTATTTGCTTGTTAGTTCAGCTTTTGGGCTGTTTGTTTTGCCACTTGTTCTACTGTGGGCGTTAATTCTTTGGACTTTGTTTGGTTTATTGGGTTGGGCTTCACCTTTGTTTCCAAGCTCTCTTTTACTAGTATCGGACTGTGAAGTGATACTCCGATTGCTGGGCTTATTGTGCTGAGCCTTTCTTTGGACTGTTTGTTGGGCTTTGTTTTGAGCTATTTGGGTTGTTCCTTTGGGCTATTAGTTGTAGGCTGTCTGTGATTAGTGGACTGTTTAGGTTATTTCTTTTCTGACTGGATAGTTTTCTGGAGTTGGCCTTTCACTATTTGCTGGCTTTGGATTTCTTCTGTTACAATTATGGCTAGTGGATTCCAGATTCCCAACGCTCGTCTCTTCTTCCATAGGTTTTGTTCACTATGGTTTCTTCAGATATACCTTGAAATACTTAGATCTTTGACTCAGGTGCTACACATCACATAACCAGTGACTCTTCTTTATTTGCATCTACTTTTTTTCCTCAATCTGTATCTGTAATTGTAGTTAATGTTACTCAAATGACATTGACTGGTGTTGGGACTATTCTTTCTCCTCAACTCACGCTTCCAGATGTCTATTATATCCCTCAACTTACACTAAATTTGATTCTAGATAATCAATTTTTTGATTTTGGATTTTCAGTTCACTTTTCTTCTTCTAGCTGCTTTGTGATAAGATCCACGGTCTGAGAAACTAATTTGGACTGGCCGTAAAAAAAGAGAGTTGTATGCGTTGCTGCTTCCGCTGTTAATTTATCTCCTTTCCGTTTGAGTCCATAACTGTCTAGTTTTTATTTGTGGCATTCTTACCTTGATTATATATCTCATTCATGTTTGAAATTTTTGGCTTCTACTGGTATAGTGGATGCAGGTTAGCAAAATTTTACTCCATTACCTTTTAATAAAAGTTTTACTAGCTCTCTTGTACCATTTGATCTTATTCACTATGATATATGGGGACTCCCTCCTATTCCTATACAAGGAGAGTCCAAATATTATATCTCTTTTATTGATGATCATACTAGGTATTGTTGGATAATTTGATGAAACGTCGGTCTGAGTTTTTTTTCATATTTACTGCTTTTCATGCTATGGTACACCCTTATTATTAATTTGTTATTAAATACTTTCGATGTGATCAAGGAGATGAATACTCCTTTACTTCTTTTTCGTGATTTGTTATAATCTGATAGTACTATTTATCGATCCTCGTTACCTGACACACCCGAGCAGAATAGTGTTGTTGAAGGAAAACACCGTGATATTATAGAGACAACTTGCTCTCTTTTGTTGTTAGCAAATGTCCCCATCTCCTTTTGGGGAGAAACAGTCCTTACTTTTCATTTAATCAATTGCATTCTTATCATTCTCACTTCTGGTATCTCTTCATTCAAAAAATTGTGTGGTAAACCACCCGATTATTTCTCCTTGCGTGTGTATGGTTGTACTTGCTTTGTCTTATTTCCTAGTATTCTTCGTACCAAACTTTCTACTCATTCAGCTATATATGTATTTCTTGGTTATGGCGGGGGTAAAAAAGGGTATTGTTGCTATTATCATATTATAGACATGTTTTTCGTCATGTTGTCATTATGGAACATATTCATTTCTTTTCGATTTTATCCCACTCCTCATCTCCACATAAATCTGATCTCATTTATATTGATCCCTTTACCGCTGATGTTCCCATTAAAACATATATTGATGATATTACTACGTTTGACTTGCCATCCTTTTCTTCTTCTTATGAGTTGATTGTACTCGTCCTCCTATCGTGCATACTTATATTCGTAGGATTCTTATTGCCACTTTTAAAGATGCGGTGCCTCCCTCTTTACCTTCTATCACTCATTCAGGTTCTCAAACTGTGAATCCTCTTCCTCACTATTCTTAGCGGTATCGGGAGTGTTATGATAAGTTTGGTTTCTCCAACTCTTATTATTCTTTTGATTTTTGCTCATTTCTAACTTCTATTCATTATCTCTTTGAACCCCACTTGATCTTCTTTGACAACAAGCTATGGATGATGAGCTATTTACCCTACATAAGACTCGAGCTTGGGAGTTGGTGTCTTTACCTCAAGGCAAATGCACCATGGGTTGTAAGTGGATTTATAAAATCAAAACCAAATCTAATAGCTTTGTGGAAAGATATAAGGCTCGCCTTGTAGCCAAGGGATTTGCTCAAGAGTATGGCCTATAATATGATGAAACTTTTGCTCCAATTGCCAAGATGACCACTATTCGTACTGTGATTGCAGTGGCTACCATTCGTCAATAGAACTTGTCTCAAATAGATGTGAAAGATTTGAGATAAATACGGTATTTTTTGGGGATTGAGGTTGTTTTCCTCTCCCAAAGGTTATCCTCTTTCTCACTTTAAGTATCCTCGAATGTTAGTCAACGAGCTCGCTTATCAGATAATCGGATAGTTGAGACATACATGGAGCTCAGTGATCGTTATTCTTCTACTGATGACACTCTCTTGCTTGACCCTACCCTATATCGCACCATTGTTGAGAGTTTGGAATATCTTCCGGTTATCTCTTATGTTATTCACATTGTGAGTCAGTTTGTTGCCTTACCTATCATTATTCATTGGGTTGTTGTTCTACGCATTCTTCAATATCTTCAAGGTACGTTGCATTAGAGTCTATTACTTCTTTCCTTTCCTCCTTTTCTATAGAGCTTAGGGCTTACTCTAATGCAGATTGGGCTGACGATGCTATGGATTGCGAATCCACCACTGTTTTCTGTCTCTTTTTTGGTGATTCTCTTATCTCCTAGAAAAACAAGAAAATAGAAGGACGTTACTGAAAATATTTATCATTATTTGTATTCAAATTAGAAATTAATTAATAGATTATTTGATATTTAAAAACATAAAATGTACATATTTATGCATAAATTAATGATTTGAATGTGGATAATTGTAATTTTAATATATAGGTTTAAATATCATATAAAAAAAATTATATATCTCAATTCTCATGGTATATCAAAGAGTAAATTCAAATTAAACTTAGGCAAAAGTGTACTTAAAAGTAAATTACCTACAAAAAATAAGTTAATTATAAGTTAAAAATATAACAGAGGGTAAACAAGTAAAAAACCAAAATAAGTCTTAGGGTAGGCCACCGACAGTAAAGACTAAAGAGTCTCAAAAGACTCCATTTGCATCTGGAAGACGCTTCGTTCACTTAGTCCTCAGAGAGAGAAAAAGAGAGAGAGAATATGTGAGTGGAGTCGAGTCGACGAAGGCACCGGTGATAGCTGTAAAGGAGGTTAGGGTTGGGTTCTGCTTTCTTGCCTACTCGCCTTTGGTTTGCACTTCATAGCAAAGAAGAAAATGGGCTATTTGTATTTGATTCTAAGCTATGTTTTGCATATCTTTACAATCCTTCTTCCGTTTATTGAAGATTTTCTTAGTTTGTCCAAGAATTTGAAAATTTTGTATAAGATTTCACTATGTTGGACCGATTCTGATATGAATCGTTCGAGTCACACCGAGTTGATTTTGAGTTAAGCCGATAAATCTAAGTCATGACCGAGTTATTGCCGATACAGATGCGACTTGTGATATTTGTGTACCGTATATCGTTATCGTATTGGTGGTGGTCGAGTCATATACGACTTGACCGATAAGCTGAACCCTAACGGTAATTGCTTGTTCTTCTGCTGAAGTTGAGCACCATACTATGACATCTACCATAGTTGAGATAGTATGGTTACAATGACTACTTGTTGATCTTGGCATATCCTTACCTACTTCTACCCCTGTGTATTGTGACAACACTAGTGCTATTCAGATTACTTACAACTCGATCTTCTATGAGCGCATCAGCTTGACACAATTTCTTTTCCTTTCCTACCTTCTACTATACAGTTAGCAGATTTCTTAACGAAATCTCACACACCATGGTGCGTTTTCATATTCTTCTACATAAACTCTTGATATTTTCAACTACCACATCATAAGTTTGAGAGGGGGTATTAGAGTAGTCTCGTGTATTTAATATTAAGGGTAGTCTAGTTCTTTTCTAGTATTGTTTTGCCCTACTATAAAAGGGTTTCTAGTTGCGTCTTTCACTATTATGTTGTAATAGACTTACGAAGTTGCAATAATATTTTCTCTCGTTTCTTTTCATCACCTCTTTTGTTATGAATGTTTTCATTATTTTCAGGTACAAAGACTACAATTTTTCAATAGCAGCTAACAAAATTACCCACAAGCTGAATACAGCAGATGCAAAAACACTGATATGATCTTTAATGAAAAAATTTTACAAAAATGAAAATGACGGTGTCTGAAAATATCTGACAGCAGACCTGAATATCTTAAGGAGATGTTTTGACCAATTTCTTGCTTTGCTTGAAGCCTTGACTGCATTGTTACCCAGGAGGATAAAATCAGAAGAAAACTTTGAAAGAGAATGCTTATAAATGAACATACATTGGTAAATTTGATAATCAGTATTGTACCATACACAAAACTGAATTTAACGATGATGAATTGCATCAATTACAGCTTAAATTATGCAATCCAAGTAGTAACTTAATTTAGTAGGGAAAAAACTTGGACACTAACATGGTGTTCCATTTTTATAAAATCTACAAGAAATTAGATTCCAAATCTAGGTCTATATAAACCAACTAAAAGTACATATGAAACCCAAGAACACACGTTAACCAACAATAGACTTAAAATGGGGCAGCCAAGAAGCTAAGTTCCTAGTTCCCACCCTACATTGCCATGCAGTTGTCTACACTGTCTAGCACCCCTGAACATCAACAGGCATGTCACACACTTGTTATATGGTAGCAAAACATGTGACCTCATGGTCTATGTGAGCAGCTAAGGGCAGGGAATGTGCACATGCATCCACTGTTGCAAGCTATTGTGAACAGCACTGTTGCTGTTGTGTACGATTTTGTCCAGATATGGAGGAATGACTCTCAAATTATGAGATTCCACAAGTTTTTGTTTATGCTGTCTTCTTACTTCCCTATCTTATGAATTAATAGATATGTTTCAGTTTTGAAAATATTCCCCCAGTGTTAATTATTAATGCAGTGATCACCAATCCATAGTTCATTTTTGGGAAAAGAGTCATGTTTCACTTAGATTTCTGTTTTATCATCATATATGGAGACAACAAAGTATAACTAGAATACCAAGGATGATGTTGTGTTACAACTCCAAACAGCAATCCGATTGATAGCCGTAATATATTCAAGTATAAAGGAGAAAATAAGCATCAAAAAAGAAAAGGAATTATGTAGAAAGACGGAGTTACCCCAAAAAAAGGAAAAAAGGAAAAAAGGAAATTAAAGTCCTTTTTTTATCACCTTATGATTCAAACTGACACTGTAAATTCTCAGTGATGTCCTGGATACTGATTGAAAGATATAGAGAGACAACACTTTCAAGTCAACTAGCATAAGAATACT